GGCTTTCCAACGGTATCCGAAATCGACGGTTTTGGTGGTCGAAAGTTGCCGAAAAAGTGCCTCAAACTTGCCCAAAAAATCTGAAAATTCAGTGACCGTTTCTGAAACTTTGAAACTTCAGTGACCGTTTTGAAATTTTCAAGTAACTTCAGTGACCATTTGTGAAATTAACCCATTTTTTAAAGAATAGTATTAAATGATAGAATTTAACACCGAATAAAGATATAAATATAAACCAACTTATAAAGAATTGTACTACTCCTTTTAATAAAATTGACTTTTTAAGATGGAATCTCAATTCTTAACATGGTATTAGAGTCCATTAAACTCTAACATGGTATTAGAATCTCATATTAAATAAAAATGTAAATATAAATCAACTTATAAAATATTAGACTACTCCTCTTAATAATGTTGACCTTTTAAGATGGAACCAAAATTCTTAAAAAATTGAATTTTTGGAATTGTGATTGATGTGAGAATGTGAGGTGAAAAAGTTATGAAAAGTTTTAGATTTGTGTGAAATATTATTTTATTGGGATAATTTGTGGTTGAAATGAAGAAAGAGAAAAAAATAACTTACACTTACTCTACTCTTACACAGCCAAACAGGGACTAAGTCATCGTCGGTCTAAGATTAAATTATGAAGACTAGTCGAACGACTAGACCAGTGACCCAGGCTATTTGGCGAACAAGAGTAGTTCAATCCTCACATTCGTGTCATTGTAGCAAAACCAGGCTTTTTGGTAAACGAAAGTTCAAACCTTGGCACGTTAGTGTCATTGTGAAAATTGTGAAATTAGTCTACTTGGTGAATTGACGGCTAATTCAAGGTTTCAATTAGGCTTTGATCGGTGCCATATTTTGAAATCTATTTCGATAAGTTTAATTCCATACCATATTTTGATAAATAATTATATTTAGCATGAATGGTGCTACACCATAATCATACATAACAGTAACTGGTTTAATTGTTATAACATCTACGTTAAATAGAGTAATGAATAATATTTTTTGAAGAATGTGTAGTTGAAATTTAAAATAACTTTATTGATTTGTGTGTAGAATATTTTATTGAGTAAATTTGTGGTGAAAAATTCTACTATAGCAAATAATTTTTTGAAATTTTGAAATTATTAAAGATCGAAAAAGGCATTAAAGCATATCCTCTGTGTCCTGTAGAATCTGTTACGTTCACAAACTCTGAGGATTCCAAAAGTTGGAAATTGTACCAAGCATTCATTTTGATTTTAAAATATTTAAAGTTCATTTAATATATCTTTGATATCAACCAACTCCATGACAAATATCAGATCCCATTTCAGCACACCTATTCAGCGGATTAAAATTAAATTTTTAATAAATTTTCATAAAAATTAATAAAATATGTGATTGAAAAGTTGTGAAATTCATAAAATACGTGATTATAATTAATGGTTGATTTTAACTTAAATTTTAATTTTAATTAATATCAAATATGGATTAACGTATGACTCGATATAGCAATTTGAGAAAAGACATCCAACCTAAAAGTCATTTGACACTATGAAAAAGAAGAAGAAATTATTGATATGATGGAAAATATTATTTTATTGAAAAATGTGTGGTTGAAAATGAGAATTGATTTACTGTAGAAAACTCTAAATCTCTCCCAAACAGGGCCTGAGTAAATTTGTGGTGAAAAATTCTACTATAGCAAATAATTTTTTGAAAATTTGAAATTATTAAAGATCGAAAAAGGCATTAAAGCATATCCTCTGTGTCCTGTAGAATCTGTTACATTCACAAACTCTGAGGATTCCAAAAGTTGGAAATTGTACCAAGCATTCATTTTGATTTTAAAATATTTAAAGTTCATTTAATATATCTTTGATATCAACCAACTCCATGACAAATATCAGAACCCATTTTAGCACACCTATTCAGCGGATTATAATTAAATTTTAATAAAAATTAATATAATATGTGGTTGAAAAATTGTGAAATCCATAAAATACGTGATTATAATTAATGGTTGATTTTAACTTAAATTTTAATTTTAATTAGTATCAAAAATGGATTAACGTATGACTCGATATAGCAATTTGAGAAAAGACGTCCAACCTAAAAGTCATTTGACACTGAAAGACATCATTAAGCGCATGGATAATTTGATAATCATATTTAAATTCTTATAATAAAAAAAATCCTAATCTCGAATAAGACATGTTAATTGATAATTATTTTTCAAACTACTTCATAATTAATGGTCGCCATCCCATAATATTATTTATTTTTTTCAGTAAATAGAATATGGTTTGCGTACGTCCTTAACAATTTGAAAAAGGCGACAAAGAGACTATGGAGCTCCCAAGGATTTTTTCGCTAATCTAATTTTCTTCAGAGTAAACAAAGAGCTAAGGTAGGTAGATAATTAAGATCAAAGTGCGTAACAATATTAATATTTGTCTAGTAGTAAGGAGGACTTATCGTGTGTATATATATAAATTTTTTTCTTACAAAAAAAAAAAAAAACTAGAATAATCAGAGACCTCGAATATCCCCGTCTTTGACCAGTTCCAAGTTTTCAGCCTCTTTCGCCGCCGCAAAGCGGTGATCACCACCACCGCCACCTGACTTTCTTTTCTGCAGATGCATTTGCACATAGAATTTCAAGAACAGACAGAGAATGGCACCATTAAGCACTGAATTGAAAACCCATGCTCCGATTCCATTGCATCCTCCTTTAATGAAATGCAGCAATAGCACACCGACATGGCACAGTAGATTGCAACTCAACAACAACATCTGGCAGTTTACGACGAACGGAAAACACGCGCTCGGCAGCCCTATCGCCGTCCAGAATCGGTACCCGTACACGACGGAGTAGACTAAAGTGGTGAGAAGAATTGCAACCACCTGAAATGATTGAGAAAATTCGAGCCATAGAAATGACATGAAGATTAAAATTGAGTGGTTGAAAAGCTTGAAGAAGGACAGCCTTCGCCGGCGTAAAATTGTGACGAATGTTCGTACGGCGTGGAGGAACCGAGAAAGGTAATATATGTATGACCAGAAGAACACGCGGCCGGAAGGGCGTGTGCCTAGCGGGAAACAGAGAAGCCATTGAAAAGGTGTCATCCGGAGACGACGCCAGAACCATCGTGTGTCACGGATCTCCGCCGCGGTGGAGAGGAGGATGCCGGTGAAGATTATAACGGAGATAAGAGCCATGCTTAGGGAGTGTACCGCGGGGATGGGTCCGAGCGGGAGTGGCCGGCGGTGGCGGAACACCATGAGAAGAAGTAAATGAAGAAAAACCGACCCGGCAACATAAGCGGCGATTGAGGAAAATAGGAAAGACCACGTGGACCCCCACGATTGGGTGTGACTCCACCGGAACCCCACGATTGATGGGTGCTCCGACAGATAATACCTCAGGCTCTGAATCAACATCATCGGCTGGATGATATTGTAATAAACCACAAAATTCTCTGTCCAAAATTCTCTGGGGTTTACATGGAGGATGTAAAAATGTCGCCTTTGATATCACAAAGGCAAAGTTCTGTATCCTTTTCTTAACCTCGCCTGCAGTGCTTCAGATTTTAGATGAAATTGTGAAGTGGAGAAGAAGGATTTTTTGGTGAAAATTGGGGTAAAGATAAAGAAATTGGATTCACCGGTGGTTATTATTAAGAGTTGGGAGTGTATACGTGGAGGATTTTGATTGGAGCTGTTATGTTCAAACATGGCTGCTGATATCTCACGTTAAAAAGGGTAGGTTAGTATACTACACATGTTTTGTGTAAGTAAATTTATAAATCGCACGATAAAGTGATAATTATTCTATGAGTAAGAATTAATACATAATTAGTCAATATTATTCACCTTGCGCCTTAGGATGAAATGCAGATTTATGAGATCACCGACATTCTGCACCTAATTTCTTCAATATGATTGGTAATAAATGGAAACGCATAGTCGTAGCACACTAATTATTTTTCAACTATTGAAACTGAAAAACACAATGTGCAAAAACTGGGAAAAACAATTATTTGTGATGTAGGAATTGACATTTGAACGACGTGCGCACTTATAGAGTTCAATGTTTAATATTCACAATTGAAGTTACGCAAATGGAGTTTTCAAGTTAGGCTCGTTATTCATTATCTGTATATAATTTGCAGTTTTAATGTCAATCGTCGAGGAGACTGGTAGGACAAGAGTTTGGGAGAGTGCGGAAGCGATAGATAAAATAATTGTGAACGAAGATGGTTCCTCCCAACAAAACTTGAGGATGAATATCCTCCGGTTAAGGGAGAATGATGCAATACAAAACGAAGAAGAGCTCATGAAAAGTGGGATCGGGGTTGGAAAAAATAAATTTCGAAGTGTCCGTTTTCGGAGATATTTGTGTCTATTTTGAGTGGAAACTGCCCAACGAGCAAACTTATCGGCTTTGCCATGACACGTAACATGTTTCAACGTTTTTCATTATTTTGGATAATTTCCTTAGTTTTAATTGGATTAGGATTTTAATTTCATTTAGAGTTTGAATTTATATTTTATTCCTATAGTTATCTAGAGTTGGTCATTATCAAGTAGTTAAATAATATAAAATTTTATGTAGGCTAATTAGCACAAAACGTCCGCATCTTTTAATATTTTTGTGCGAAACATCCATACTTTTTTTTTTCTTTTTTTGACAATTTCACCCTCACTTTCGCCTATCATTGTGAAAATGGTCATTCCATCCGCCCACCATCAAATACTCAATTAACTCAACACAAAAAAGCAATTTTTTTCTTTTTTAAAAATAAGGGTAACATTGTCTTAGCCCAAATATTTCCTTCACCTCCGTCTCCTCTTACGCACGAACAAATGAGATGTTGTTTCTTCCATTTGTTTGTACATTCCCTTCACCTTCATCTCCTCTTACGCTCGTCACCTGTTGTTGCCGCACAATGGAAGCACGCAATGAGGTGATTTGAAGCGAGGGAAGATAATAAAAATTTGGGGCTGGTTTTTTTGTCTTTCCATTTCATTTTTTGGTGTTTCGCATAATTGAGAGTTTGTGTCAAGTTTTCAAGTGGTTTTTGGAGAAAGTGAAGTGAGAAAAGTTGCTGCAGAGGTTAGAAGACGTGAAAGAAGCACTGTTCTTTTTCTTTCCAAGAATCCATCTGCTAGCCTACCGTACACAACTGACCCTGTTTGCACAAGTAAAAGCTTTCAGTAAATCTAGTGACCAAAGTATTGTGGGAATATAAAATGAGCTAATACATTTCCAGCCTTGTGGTTGTGCATCAATAAATATAGTGACCAAAGTGTTGTGGGAATAAAAAATTCCAAGGCAATGACACCAAAAATGCATGAACCAGATGTGAAAATCCAAATGATCCTGTTTGACTCAAAATAGGTATGGACGGTTTGCACAATTTTTTACAGGATATTTCTACTTGTACATTAAGATCTATACATCAAGGTTTACACCCCTCTCCCATGGGGGGTGTGGTCCACTCGAATAATAATTTTTTATTCGAGGTTTTATTCGAGTGGACCCCACCCCCCGTGTGAGAGGGGTGTACACCCCGATGTAATCCTTAATGTACCATTAGCATGGTCCTTTTTGACAAAGGTACTATGTTTTATGCAACTTGGTTTTAAAGGTATGGATGCTTTTCACAAAGTATGTTAAAAGGTAGGGTTGTTACACGCAAAACGTATTAACATGTAGGGATGATTGTCAAAAGTTCAATTTTATGTTAAAAAGGAAAGAACAGGTCCAGTTCCTCTTCTCCATTCATATATGTGGTGTCATTCACCATTGAGATCTGATGGGTTAGGTGCAGCTTCACGTTTGCCATTATTATTTTCATTTGACCCTTTATTTACACTCTTAATAAGCACAAAATGAGGACGAACATCTCCAGTTTATCGACCACGGATTCGATCTCTTCATCCACCTTTCCAAATTTTATGAGTAAGCCGGCATTACAGCAGTCATTGTTCTTCTGAAGGTGAAATACAGTGTTCTTTATATCATTTCTTATTTATTTAATGGAATAATTTTATAAAATAATTTTATTACTGTTAGTTTTGAACAGTTAACTTTAAATGTGGTAAGAAGGCCACAATGGAAAAAATGGGTAAGACTATATATTACCATTGGTTTTTGAAAAGAAAATTTTCAGTTTTTTGTTGAATTAATGATGCATTTGACGGTGGATGGAAGGAAGGATCTTTTCGAAATGAAAGGTGAAAGTGATGGTGAAATTATAAAAAAACGAAAGGTAGAGATGTTTTGCACAAAAACATTGAAAGGTATGACATTTGGTACTGATTAGCATTTTATTTACTACTTTAAATAAGAGTTGTAGTTAAATTTTGTATTCAGTTGAGTTTGAATTAAATAAAAATCTTGAGAGGTTTCTCAAATTGTTCGTTTTCTTGGTATTTAATCTTTCAAATCAACAAGTTCGAGTTATGTGAGGTTTTGTTCCTTTTTATAAACTTTCGCTACGTCACAGAGATTTTGAATATTACATGTAATTTTATTTGAAATATATAAGTGGTTTGACGTTTGATTAGATTGCGATCATTTTTACTTTTTAAGAAACTTCGCTAGTTTACATTTTTTTTTTTTTTTTTCAATTTCAACATGCTAAATCGCACAAATTGTCCAATCATAAGGTGATGTAGCGATTTCAGGAGTTATTGTTTGAAAATACGTATCTACTCCTTTTCTTGTAGATTTGGTCCCTACCTCATTTTTTGTCCAGTTCCTCTCTTACATGGGCACTTGCCTTATAAATGAATTATTTCACAGGGTAATTTCGTCCGATCATCATCATCATCACCCTCACTACGGGTGGATGATGGGTAGTAATCATTTATACAACTAATCAAGAAAACAACTAATCCATAATAATACAATTTTATTACGACAAGTACGTACGTTAGTGAATTAATCAATAAAATCACTAAACGAGTAATAAGAAAACTTTACAACAAAACATTATCAATAGAATTAATTGACAAATCGAGTAAGCAAATATGAACAAAACTTTATAACAAAAGACAAATAGTAAACAACTTGATAATTGCACTTAATCTATGGAACTAGTTGACAAAGCAATTGAACACGCAAGAATATAACTTCATGTTGAATATATCAATCAACTTAGCAATAAACATATAAAAATGGAATGATTAAGGCCCTGTTTGTCATCACTTAAAAAATGAAATTGTTTGCTACAGTATCATTTCTCTATTGTATATTCACACAATAAAATATTCTACACACAAACCAATAAAGTTTCCTTATATTTTAACCACACATTCTCCAAAAAATAATATTTCATGACTAATTATTACCAAATAAATTCTATCAAACAGGCACTAAAGTCTAATAATAACGAGGTAAAAGAGCACTGCTATGAGTACAGGATTTTTTAACAGAAAACATACAGGAATTTGAAATGAATGGAAATGATTGAAAGATTGGAGGAGGGAAAAAATACACACATGGACATGATTCATTCATTTCAAAATTCTGGCAAAAATTCCTGTACTCATTAAATTAAATCCTGTACTTAAGGAATTTTTCCGAGGTAAAATTTAATCTCATTAAATTAAATCCTTAAATGGGTTTATTTGAAGCTAAAATATATCAGCCGTCCATTTAAAATTGACCAATCATTTTCATTTTAGTTGTTTCATAACACCACTTTATTTTTTTAACGAGGGGTCGGTGTGTGATAAGCAGAAATAAGGGTGTGGTTCTGGCTAGTCCATATATACTTTTAAATAATTCTTAAAAAGTTGTATTTCATGCCAACCCAAGTTAAATTTAATCAAAATCCAGAAGCACTAAACTCTAATTAATCGATCGACTACATATCCCAAAATCTAAACGTTACGACCCAAGGTCACGTGATATATTCTTATACCGTCGTTTCGCTTTATGAAAATAAAAAAATATCTGTGAAAAAATTATCACACTTTAAAATAAAGTTGGACTAAAAAATTTCTATCGATAAAATCTTTCACATTATACAATAACTGTTATAAATAATATATTTATTAGTGAATGACAATTATACTCTACAGTCCTAATTATTATTACTGTTTTATTTATCGCAACCTTAATTCCTTCCTATAAATATGAAGCTTTGATTCTCAATTAAATACATGTAACTTCTCTCTATTTTTTTCTATTTTATAACACGTTATCAGCACTAAGTTTTAGTCAATTGATTTAGCAAAATTTATTTGTCTTTCTACTTATAATCTCTAATCAGTCCAGGTATATATTTTTTTCCTTCAATCAAATGATAAGAAGTTGTAACCAATTGAGTTTACAAATAAATTGTTCTTTTCTGCTTAAAATAAAATGCCAGTATTCTCTTAATTTTAAACTACATAACAGGAAATATAGTTATTCGATCTGATTATGTTGAGTTGACTATACTAATTTATGATAGATAAATATTTAGTTGAATATAATTTTTTCATTCAATATTTCAAAAAAAATATTATATTATTATTCTTGAAAAGAAACAATCTTCTTAAATATTTCAGAAGAATAATGTACTATTGCTTTGAAAATGAATATGATATTTATATTATTTAATGTGTTGTTCACGTAGAAGCACAAATTAAACAAATTAATATTGAATTGTAATTTTTGAAGAAAATTAACTTTCTATTTTGTTAATATTCAGAAGAATATTAATTATTACTTATGAAGAACATAATATTTTGTGTTCCTATTGTAAATGATAAGTCCTATTTCGCAGCAGCATCGGTGAATCCAATGCCGCGATAGGCCCGTCGCTGCAGCAGTCGGAGCTCCTCTCCTATCTTCTCGATTTTCTTTTTTCTCTCAGATCGCCATCTGGTGGTTGTTGCATATTTGGGGTATTTTTATGGGGGTGGTGGCTGTGGAGGCAGTTGGTGGTTGTTGAAATAGGTGATTATGGGTGTAAGATGCAGAGGTGTTCATTGGTTTTTTTTTTTTTTGTCGTGGTTTTTCGTGATTTCGTGGTTTTTCAGTTTGTAAATTGTTGTGTTTTAATGGTGGTTGTCGTGGTGAGGGGGTGGTGGTGTTAGTAGTGATTCTGCCATTTGAAGATGATGGTGGGTGATTGTTGAGATATAGGTGGCTCGGAAGGCAGGGTGTGGTGAGGTTTGGAGATCTCGTCGAAGTGGGTTGAATTTTGTGGTTGGCCGGTGCGTGTGGGTGGACAGCGCTTGGTGGAACGATTTGTGGAATTTGTAGGTTGAATTTTGTGGTTGGCTAGTGCGTGTGGGTGGACTGCGTTGTGACTTGTTACCTGACCTGTGACTTGATTTGTGACTTGTGACCTGGGCTGTGACTCTTAACTTGTGATTGTGACCTGAGCTGTAACTTGTCACATGGGCTGTGACTTGTGACCTGAATTGTGACCGTAAAAAAACATGCCAACCATACAAAAAAATATAGCGAGTTGTCACTGGAATATTTGCGCATAGTTAGAACAACTGCCTGAATTGGAGCAGTCGTCGAAAAAATCGTCGCCGGAACGGTCACCGAAATCGGAGTAGTCGCCCCGAACGGTCGTCGGAAAGTTCGCCGGAATTTACTAATAAATTAATTTAATAATTTATTATTTCATAAATAAAAATTTAAACTGTTTTAATAAAAATCTGATTTTGAAAATTTCAAACTTGTTTTCTTAGTTTTGAATTAGGCTAAACTTAATCTCTTGAATAGATAATCTTCCCTATAAATTATTACTATTGTAATCTAATCATTTCCTATAAATATAGGACTTTGATTTTCAATAAAAGACACAAATTTATGGACTTTTCTCCTTTGTTCTCTATTTTTCCCTTCAGTTTATATTAATTTTTCGTCCAAGTCAATAGTAATTTTCCATTTGTCAAATTAAAGAGTGCAAAAAAAGTATCTCAATTGCAACAAATATTTAAGTCAATCGACAAAAACAAAATAAAATGTAGCGGCATGATTGATTTTTTGTTAATAGTTCACAAGTAGGGTCTTCACCAAACTAGTTTATCCTTTCATATTTCACATTTCACTAATATCTAAATTAGTAAAATAAAAAAAATTCCCCGTTAAAACCTATCTACCTTGTAGCCACAATCGAAAATGTACCATGATCTATTGCAACCTAAATAGTTCTATGGTATATATTACAAGCATTTGATAGATTATAGGTGCATTCCTATATATTTTTAAATGGGAGAACGACTATGGCTGAACTGAGATATTTTAATATTTCACCTCCTAATTAATTTGAAAGATTGCAAAGTATTCCCTCAATCTCTTGCATTTTAACTATACAAGACAATTATATTAGGATATCATATCGTGATTTAAAGTGTCTCATTTAAAATTTGCACACTCCTATGACATTCTCGAAAGTATGTACGATCAAGGATTTTAACATTTCTTTTACATAGAGTTAGAATTAAGTTTTCCCCCTTGTATTGGGAACCACAATCAAAATTTACCATCAACACAAATCACAAAACACGGATGTAATATATATGGATACTTGACTTTTGGAGTTTCAAACTATATACCTGAGTTGAGAATTGGTGTATACTAAATCACTTGGGAAAAATTTACAACTCAATGATTTAGTATACACCAAATAACAAATCAGGTATGTATGTGTATATATATTATGTTACATTCGTTTCCTACAATTAAGCGTGTTTTCTTTCTATAACAAGACTTCCTACAATACAAATTCACCTTCCAAAATTACAGATTCATTAGAAATTCAAATTTTCACGACACAACCTTTTTCAGTCATCGGAGAAGACAAAGCAGGTAACCGTTTGATTGATTTTGGTAACAAAATGAATGTTTTCATCCCAAACTAATTTTTTTGTCACAAATTTTCGAATCAAATCTGATGTACTGAAAATAATCGGACGGTTCAGCTAACAAATTATAGATTCTCGTTGCCGAAGAAGACAATCCAAGTAATAATCCGATTATTTTGGTCACGAATTGAATGTAGAAGATTCTAGTCACTGTTTTTGTTTTATCTATGATCCAACTGTATTGTAGGTTCATCAGCAAATCCAAATTGCAGGTTACAAAAAATTTGATCGTAGTAGGATAAGAGATTTCAGGTAACCGCTTCTAATATTATGGCACGACTTGAATACTTTAATCACGAATTGATTCTTCTTGTCACAAGTTCAACAGAAAAATCCAATGCAGGCCACATAAGATCTGATTGTCTCATCGGAGAGGTATACGCTTGAAAATTTTTGCTCACAAATTAAATATTCAAGTCACGACAGTATTTTTTCATCCTAAGTTCAACAAAAACTCTAATTTACACGTAACAGAAACTCTGATCGGTACAGGATAAGATATTTTAGGTAACAATTTCAAATATTTTGGTTACAACTTCAATGCTCTCATCGCGAATCGATGTTTCTCGTCATAGGTTATTGTGCGCAAAAGCTGAAATTGAAATTAGTCGAACAAATCACATAATACTGACTTATATAATTACATAATTTTGTTTTATGACATGCTATCTGTATATATGACTTATGCGTGCACCGTGCATAATAGAATATGAAAGAAAAATATGTAAACTACATAAAATGAAACATGACCTATGTTTCACCTATTGTGATATACATTTTAGTCATATATGACTTGTTTGGGAACGTGACATGTATTTTATTATTGTCATTCATGTATTAACTTTGTGAATTGTATTATTTTCATCATGAGGCCAATGTTGATATTAATTTTAATTTGTAGAAATGATGCATATATGTATGTTTGTTGAAAGAGATTGAGGAAGGAAATCAACAATTAAATGTTGACGTTGTGGATAACATGATCACAATCGCGAGAGATGCTCCAATTTGATCACATTGAGTCAAAATCACAAAGAGAACACCCAATGATAGAAAATCAACTGATGATACAGTTAGATTATAGATATATCATATTCTTATAGGTAGGGAAAATTAAAGTAGCGGTCTCTAATATTTTCATTTTTTGCTTTACCCTAACTTTTCATAAATGTGCTGGATGAGGTCTATAATCTTTCATAAAATATTGATTGGACGAAATTGCACTTTCCTTAAAGGGTCAATGTATCTGATTTTTTAATTTTCCAGGTCAATTAACTATTTTTTGGACGGAAACCGTCCAAAGGGACACCGTCTGCATATTTATGAAAGGTTAGGGACCATCTCTAACATAAATGAAGGTTATGATAAAATCTTTAAAAGATAAAAAGTTGGAGACCCCTGCTACACTTTTTTTCTATTCTTATAGTTAAAAAAAATAAAAATGTGTCTACTGTCTTTTCCACTTAAAATTTTTTGTTTGGTAAATAGAGAGCCGACGGGCGACGTCATTTTAATCAAACAGAACGCTCTGGAATTTTCGACAGAGTCCAAACTCAAAACTCGTTCTTTTATTTATACTTTACAGCGTTTTGTGACAATCAATTGCTCTCTGTTCTTCGTTTTGCAGATCAAACAACAAAGGTGAGTATTTTTATTTTTTCGCTCTCTCTTCTTGTTTGCAAGTTATTTTTCAATGCGTCGATTTACATTGGAGGTAGCGGATAGCAAAATTTATGAATTTCAGGGAATGGTAAATAACAAAATTTTTCCTCTGTGTCTGAATTGATGGAATGCTTTTGATTTACATGCCTGTTGTTCTGCCGTTATATGAATAGTAAACAAGGGCTATGAGATTATTAATTTTGGGACAAATAGTTTGTTAAATTTGGGGTTTGTAGCATTAGATATGTGATTTATTATTGAATTTTAAATTATTCTTTTTGGTTATCTAGATGAGAAGGATGAAAATGCAAGATAGAATTTTTTGGGTTCGGTTCCTTGTAGATTTTAGAGAAACTATAGTAACTAGCAACAAGTTTTTTAGCAACTTTATATTTAAAAGTTGCCTCTTTAAACTGCCTTCAGAACAACAGATAAAATCTGCCTCTGGTGATGAGATTTGGGAAATTGGTATATTGTGCATTGCATTAACTATTTTTATTTTTTTGCGCCACATTGTGGCAGTTAAATCAGTAGTTTTGGTGGATAATTACTTATATCTGTTTGATTATATTTTTAAGATTTATTTGCTAAAAATTTGGTGACCAAGAAAGGCTAAATTTCAGGCTTCTGTAATTTGGATACGAAGTTTACTAGATAAGATGGCAATTGAGACCCAGGATTCGACTACCAGGGCACGAGAGAGTTCAACTTCCTCTGGAAGCGACAGCGACCAAGCTGGTGATTTTGAATGCAATATTTGCTTTGATTTAGCACAAGACCCAATAATCACCCTCTGTGGTCACCTCTATTGTTGGCCATGCCTCTACAGATGGCTACAACTTCATTCACAGTCTCATGAATGCCCTGTTTGTAAGGCCCTAATACAAGAAGAAAAGTTGATTCCTTTATATGGCAGAGGCAAGATGCCAAATGACCCAAGATCGAAACCTGTTCCTGGCGTAGAAATCCCTAATCGACCAGCAGGGCGGAGACCTGCTACAGCTCCGCCTCCAGATGTGAGTAACTTTACTAACATAGTTTTGGGAATGATGAATGGATTTGTACCAATGGTATCTGCAACATTTGGTAATTTTGGAATGTCTGCTGGTTTTGGTGGGGTGTTTTCTCCAATGTTTAACGTCCAGCTTCATGGTTTTTCAAATGCAAGTGGATTTGGTGCTACATCAGGGTATCAATTTGGAAATGCTGATTCTTTTCATGGTACTAGCAGCCACGTTTATAGAGAAACCGGTCAAGCTCAGCAGGCAAATGACGGTTTGCATGCTGATGAAACTCTGAAGAAACTTTTGCCATTTATTTTTGTTCTTGCGGTGCTTGCTTTATTTCTTTTGTAAATGAATTTTGCTCATAAACTCAATTTGTTTAGATCTCTAGAAATTGCGACTCCGAACTTGCAATGACTCTCTGGCATATAGTTTTAAGACAACGTGGGTGTCTTGTTCGCCCGACTTTATTTATTGTTCTTGATCTTGCTGCAGTGTCGGTGGTTTATAACGATTATCGTGAACAATTGGCTTTATAATCATTTTGTAATTTCGTCTAAGAATTAAGTTGTTTAAGAATAAAAAACTCGTATGTTGTCATCAACAAATATTTTCTTGATATTGATTCATATTAATGTTAATGTGCATGTACTATCTATGAATGGTATATATCATTTTTCTAAATGGGAGCAAAATTTAAATTTTCTGGCTATCCTTTACAATGCATTTTGTTGTGGTTTTGCTTTGTCGGTCCATTTAAATTTAAAAACAGAAAAGGTCACGTGGAGAACATGGAACTTATAGCTCTGATAAGTGCTCTAATTGAACCCTAATAATTGGGAATTGACTTTTCTTCGTTACAGACCCAAAACCTCTCAGGCTGAGAACATGTGCACATGCAAATCTTTAATTTCGGCCATCAAAATGGGAAACCTATATTTAATTATTGAAGATCCAAGAAACTAATTAAATCCATCATGTACATTAATTGTTACTTCTTCAAAATTATGTTCGACCCCCTCTTAACAAATTTACTTCTCATCCCGTATATTTGTATGACGTATAGAATAAATTTTTATCTTTAATATACATTCATAAGGTTTGTATGTATACATACTAGTCGAAAATATTCCAGCCACGTTAATACCTAAAGTTTCAGTACTCCGTGGAATTGAGAGGGTTGGAGTCGATTAATGTTTAGCCGTAGTATTTAATTAGTGAAAATAATGAATTTATTAGATACATCAATTATATTGTATATTGGATAGAACAAAATTTTACCTTAATAAATGTCCGTAAGGTTTGTATATATATGTGTAAATATGTAGCATATAAATAGAAATATGTGCACTTCTAATAAAAAATATCGAAAAAATCATTATCTAGCCACATCAATTTCAAGTTTCAATCCGTGCAACTGACAGGAATTTGTCACGGCTAGGTAAAGATTTTTATGACTTCATGTTCAATCATAAGAAGCATTTCTTGGCGAAGTCTCGTGTAATCTCTTATTGTTCAAGCACTCCTGCATAGCTGATTTATAACCCACTTGTAAAAAAAATTACTTATGTTAAAGATTGTTCAGTATCTTCTGCTTTTCAGCTTATAATTGAAAAAAAAGCATTAGGTCACATGCATGGCTGAAAAGAAAACCTTGTCACTATTTGACAACACAGTTCCACAAGTTTCAAGTTCTACTCTCACATTTCAATATTTTTGGCCCACCTGCACCACCAACTCCCCTTCTGCTGGTAACGTGGCAGTTTTCTCTTCGTAGCTACCTCACCGCAATTAAGTACGAAAAGATATATGTTGATTATAACTTGTCACTTATAAGTGATCGCGTAGATTGCAGATCAAAGGGGGAAACTAAAAAATAAAATCATTAAATTGCTCAACAGTCTTAAGCAGTCAAGTCGGTTTCTCTGTATTAAATGTTATACGAAATATCAGGAAGTGCTGATAATATATTATCTGTTCACACTTTGAAATTCGCTTGGAAGGTAAAATAGCGAGGTGGGATCTACATTCCTTTTGAAGGTTCTCTCTCTCTCTATGAAAAGAGGCTGATCAGGTGGGAAGAATTTATCGATTTTGAACTAAAGTCAGATGCACAATGTAAACCAAGTAGTTGGAACTTGGAAGTGACGCTCGACTCTGAAACCCTATCTTACAACCAAGAAAATAGAATATAAAGTAATCTCGAACTATAATTACTAATTAGATGTATAAATATAATTATAAACCCAGGATTTTCCTTGCTTACTCGATGGAAGAAAGAAGCTTTATATGGAAGGTATGAAGCTGGGATCTTATAATCAACATGGATATCTCAACTAACTCCTCTTTGACAATAATTATTTTTAATTTTTTTTCTATATACTTATTTTTAACTACACGTTCACACAATAAAATATTCAATACATAGATTCATTTTTTTTCTATTTTTAATCACATATTCTCTTAAAAATCGATGTTTAAAAGATTTTTTTTTTTTTGGGAAATAATCACTATCAAACTTGTGCTAAGAAGAAGTAGCTTCAATGATAAGCTACATTAAATTGACGTTCTAGACATTTTAAAAGTTATTATCGATATTTGAACCATATTTATCTTGATACTTCATCTATCTAGAATGAGATTTCATTCCGAATATGAGAGTTCTACATTTCATAAAATTATTGATATTTGAAATATAGTTCTCGATATTTAATATATGAATAAATTTAAACGAGAACTAATAATATTAAATTACATTTACCATTTTCACGAAATTCAAGAATAAATTATTTTCAAAATTGGTTGCTAAAAAAAGTTAATAGAACGAATATATCTTTCTTCATTTTTATATACCTTTTTTGATTTGCCTTTCATATTGTCATATAGCGGTTGGTAAAGATAGAGTCACATTCTGCTGTAATAGTTTGGTTAAAAGTTAAAAATCCTTTCGTCCTACTAGTGAGATTACAAATAAGGACTGAACATGATATTTTTAAATGTACAAATAATGATAGAGTTCAGGTTTATTGAAAATTGACAAATTTTATTCTCTAACGACTTTAAGAAAGTAGAATGTAGTAGTACTAGTTATGAAATTTTAATATTTTCACACAATCAATACGCTATATCTTTCGTTCTTTCTAAATCACAAACAAGTTCATTAATCACCTAGACACACAAACAATCATTTTTTTAATCCAAATCACAACTCACAAGTGTATAATAAGTTCAAAAACAACAAATAAAAGAAAGAACAATGAAAAAATGACTCAAATGAGAATCTAATACTTATCAAGAGAGAAATATGCGATTCAGGTAGAAATTAGCAGACTAACAAGCAAAAGACGACTAGCGATTTGTGATTGGGAATCGCATTTTGTTCAGCAGTGGCAGATAAGCGTCAAATGTTTGAGAAATGAGAGTTTATGTTATAGCTTCTGAAGTTGTGGGCGTGATTTGCTGTCATAATTTTGTTGAATTATGATTTGGATTGTTGAAAATGAATGTTTTTTTTAATTTCATATGATTTGAGATTAATTTTAGTTTAGATTAGATATCATGGGTCAGGACGTTGAATAAATTTTGAACATTTTTACAAATGACCACGTGAAAGTGGACATTTCTTGTAATTTTCACTAATTTAAGCCGTGGAGATGTTTTTAGAAAAAAAAGAAAAGGCTCCACTACAAAATACGTGCTGGTAGCTACTCCGCCGCTAGATTATAACATTTATGGAACTTTTTGATAAATCCTAGCCGCTCTTTTTAGGATCAATAATTTAGTGCAGTAGTATATATTGCATATCACTCGGTGCAGAGAGTAGGGAGGTCAAAAATTTTGAGCTTCCAATCAGAAGTATGACAGGAGTAATGGAATTTTTAAAATGTCTCTTTTCAATTGCCTTAATCTTATCAATTACAGAAGCCAATGCCGGAAACTTCCATTTCAGGGAGGCGCCGAAGTTCTACAATTCTCCTAAATGCCCTTCTGTTCACTATACCACCACTCCCGCCGCTTCTTCCGCCAAGATTTGCTCGGACAATGCAGTGCATGTAGCAATGACTCTAGACGCATCTTACCTCCGGGGATCCATGGCTGCCATTCTTTCAGTCCTTCAACACTCGTCTTGCCCGGAAAATATGATCTTCCACTTTGTGGCTTCCGCCGCCGCCGACACCTCACATCTCAACCTCACAATTGCAAACTCATTTCCGTACCTTCAGTTCAACATCTATCCTTTTGATGATTCGCCGGTGGCGGGGTTGATATCAACTTCGATTCGCGCTGCACTAGATTGTCCACTCAACTATGCGCGTAACTACCTCGCTGATCTGCTCCCAAAATGCGTTCAAAAGGTTGTTTACCTAGATTCCGACCTCGTACTCGTCGATGATATTTCTAACCTTGCTGCAACTCCTCTAGGCAATGAAGCAGTTTTAGCAGCACCGGAATACTGCAACGCAAACTTCACCTCCTATTTCACGCCGACATTCTGGTCCAACCCTTCTCTTTCCTTAACTTTTGCGAATCGAAAACCTTGTTATTTCAACACTGGAGTTATGGTCGTTGATCTTGAGAGATGGAGAGCCGGAGATTATACAACCAAAATTGTGGAATGGATGGAGCTGCAGAAGAGAGTGAGGATTTATGAACTTGGTTCTTTGCCCCCTTTCTTGCTTGTTTTCGCCGGAAATATAGCTCCGGTAGATCACCAGTGGAATCAACATGGCCTCGGCGGTGATAATTTCCGGGGTCTGTGCCGGGATTTACATCCGGGTCCGGTAAGCCTCTTGCATTGGAGTGGAAAGGGTAAACCGTGGGTTCGACTCGATGCTTACCGACCTTGCCCTTTGGATGCTTTGTGGGCACCTTATGATCTATTACAAACGCCATATATTATTGATTCTTGAGGTATGAGCTTAAAGACTGTGAAAAAAAATTCCTAATTAGTCAATTATTTTAAACTCTAATTAATTTATTTGATTTTTTTTTTCAGAATTTTTGTAATTAGGAAGCACAAGAGATATGAGAGATCTGAGGCCGGAGATCCTACTCTATATTGTGTAAAATACTAATACACAATACGACTTGTCTTACACGGAGAACGTAAAAAAATATGAAGTTAACGGGAGAGAAGTCGAGCATTTTCAGATGACATCAGAGATGATCTTCATGTGAGTTAAACGTTTTGTATATTACACATAGCTATAGATAAATATCTACTTATGTACCTCAAAAATAGTTGATTTAAGTTGAAATCCAATATTTAAGAATCACCATTATTGTGTTACATTATATGAAACAAAAGGAATATTTAACAAAATGGGATAGAGGGAATTGCGCATTCAATTACGGCGATTCATCTGTCAAAACAGAGCCATCAATCTTAAGATGCTTTTCAATTTCACTTTTCACTTTTTTTTTTTTGGCATGATTTTCTTTTTCTTTTATGTTTGTGGATACTAATGAAGGTTTTGAGTCTATTGACTTTAATTATTACCTTCTTAATCGTTGCTAAAAGATCCCGGTTTTAAATTTTCTTGTCAACTTTTGATGTTGTTTAATTCTTTTTGGTCTTTGAAAAAATAAAGTCAAAGTATCTAATTTTTCTTTATTACAAATAAAATAATTTAAAATATTTTTCTTATATAACTATTAATTTTTGTAAAGATATAAAATAAAAAAAATACAAACAAGAAATGTCAGAAGAATCTGTGTTACTTAATACAAAATATTGGATGATAAGAAAAGTGATAATCGATTTTTTTTTCTTTTTTTTAATCTTTTTGTTGTTTCGTATGAATAATGTTTTTGAGATGTGGGCACAATGGATTTATGATAGGAACGTACGTTTATATATATTTTGTGAGCATTGTAATGTTTTACCTCTTTTTTCAAACCTAATCAAGTCTTGGATAATTAGTGGGTGTTTGTTGGGGATTAAAATTAGATTTTTTGTAGATTATGATAGAA